ATTGTAGAGAATGAGGTCTCGCTGCCCAGGCGGGTCTCGAACCCACGGGCTCAGGCAATCCACTCACCTCAGCCTCCCAAAGGCGCAGGATTACAGGCTGAGCCACCGAGCCCGGCTGCTTCTGTCATTTTTTTTTGTCTCACCTCTTCCACATTGGCAAAATGTTTCCCTTTGAGAACTTTTTTTCATCCAGAGAAACAAGCGAACAAGAAAAGCCATGAATAGGGAGGATGCGGAATGGGGGCCACGCCATTAGGGGCCGAAAACCACTGAACACTCAGCACAGTGTGGGCAGGTGCACCCGTAAATCACCCATCAGGAAATGGGCAAGCGCGTTGAAAGAATCTCCAAAACCAAAAATAAATAAACTCACTGAAGCCAGACACAGCCTCTCACGACAACACCAGCGGGCACACTGATGCCGATGGGTTCCTAGAACACTGCCCTAGTGGGGGAAGCCTGTACCACAGGGGGCCTGCCCTCTCAAAGAGAATTCCAGTTTTTTAGGGGTCCCCCTTCATCTGTGAAGTTCAAGAACAGGCCAAGCAACCCATGGTGACAGACAGGCCAGGGACGACCCTGCAGTGGGGAGCTGATGACCAGGAGGGGGCACCAGGGATGCATAGAATGTTCTGTGTGGCCCAAATGCTGGTTTCACAAATCAGTTTGTGAAAAATGCATGCGTTATACAATTGTGATATGTCTATTTTTCAAAAGATTCCTGTTGGGGGCGGGGAACAGAGGCAGGCGTGAGGATGAAGCACAGAGGCAGCCCACAGAAGCAGCATGAGAAGGCCCTGGGAGGGCAGGACCACAATTCTCCATGCTCAAGCCTTCTTTCCCCCTGGGCCAGGGGTTGAAGCATTCGTGTTTGTAAACACATTTCTAACACATTGCACGAAGGTACCCAGCAGGTGTCTGTTGAACGAGTGCCGGAATGTATGGAAGGAGAGGACAGTTGTGGATGTCGTGTCCATCAGGCCAGCATTCTGACCTCCAGTGTCAGCCTTCCTCAGTTTCTCCGCACGGAAACCAAAGATGACGATAACTCCCCTCCCATCCCCGCCCCAGAGAGTTGTTGGGACAATCCAATGAAACCATTCAAAGCAAGCAGGAAGCCCCTCAGCACGTCTGGTGTGCTCTGGTGGGTTGCACCTGCTTCCAGAACCCACCCAGATAGCAGAATGAGTGTGATCACTGGGGAGAGTTCTTGCTTATTCAAAAACTTAGACCGGGCACGGTGGCTCAAGCCTGTAATCCCAGCACTTTGGGAGGCCCAGGTGAGGGGATTACCTGAGCCCATAGACTCGAGAACAGCCTGAGCAACTTGACGAGACCTCATCTCTACAGTAAATCAAAAAATTAGCCAGGTGTGGCAGCATGCATCTGTAGTTCTGGCTACTTGGAAGGCTGAGGCGGAAGGATCGCCGGAGCCCAGCGGGTTGACGCTGGGGTGGCCGTGAGCGTGCCACTGCACTCCAGCCAGGACAACAGAGTGAGACTCTAACTCAAAAAAAAAACAAAAAACAAAAGTTGGCCCTGGTCAACCAGGTATGGTGATGCGTACCTGTAGTCCCAGCGACTTGGGAGGCTGAGGCTAGAAGACCATTTGAGCTCAGGAGGTTGAGGCTACAGGGAGTTATGGTCGCACCACTGCACTCCAGCCTGGGCAACAAAGTGAGATCCCATGTCTAAAATAAATGAATAGGCTGGGTGCTGTAGCTCACGCCTGTAATCTCAACACTTTGGGAAGATGAGGCTTGAGCCCAGGAGTTCGAGGCCAGCCTGGGCAACATAGCAAGGCCTCCTCTCTACAAAAAAATCAAAAAATTAGCTGGGCATAGTGGCACACTCCTGTAGTCCCGGATACATGGGAGGCTGAGGCAGAAGGATTTCTTGAACCCAAGAGGTTGAGGCTGCAGTGAACTATGATCTCACCAGTGCATTCCAGCCTGGGCAGCAGAGTGAGACTCCAACTGAAAACCAAATAAATAGATAAACTCAGTCTTTCCATTTTAAATAGTCAAATTTCTTTCTTTTTTTTTTGAGTTGGAGTCTCACTCTTTTTCGCCCAGGCTGGAGTGCCATGGCACACTCATGGCCACTGCAGCCTCGACCTGCTGGGCTCAGGCGATCCTTCTGCCTCAGCCTTCCAAGTAGCTGGGACTACAGACACGTGCCACCATGCCCGGCCAGTTTTTGTGATTTATTGTAGAGACGAGGTCTCACCAAGTTGCCCAGGCTGGTCTTGAACCCCCGGGCTCAGGCAATCCTCTCGCCTCGGCCTCCCGAAGTGCTGGGATGACAGGCTGAGCCACCGTGTCTGGCCTAAATACTCAATTTCATTACCTTTATCTCCAGAGGGCTGGCTGCTTCAGAAGTCTAGTCAACCCTCCATCAATGCAGTCACATTGTCATTATAGTTGCCTACTACAAAGGCTGTGATTGGATGGAAGCAAACCATTTGGGGAGGGGGCAAAAAGATCTCATCTGAGCTAAGAGCTGCCCAAAGGCCACTCACCCACGAGAAAACCTCCCCCCTCCCTCTTCTCAGTCATTTCTATCAAATGTCCCTTTGCCTGGTCTGGTAGCTTTCCCTCTAATAGACAGAGACTGGACACAACCCAAGTCCCCTCCACAGGAGAATGCACACGTAAATTGTGTGTGGGCTACGCCTATAACGGAATACTCCTCAGAATCGTTCAGGTGATGGGAGGTGGAGGAACGAGAGAGGGTGAACGTGGGATCCCCACAGGGCAGAGGGGCAGGCGAGAGCGCAAACCCACTCCCCAAGCCTTTTGATGGGGACGTGGATGCATTCGAGAGGGCGGAGCCTCACGACTAAGCACCTCCCTGAAGGCCCCACCTGCCAACACGGTTGCGTTGGGGGTCAAGTTTCCAACACACGAATGCTGGGAGACACATTCAGACCATCGCACCAACGTTTCCTGATCATGTGTGTGTCTCTGCCATGAAGACCTCACATGTGGAGCCCACTTCTGGCTATTTTCTTTCTTTCTTTCTTTCTTTTTTTAGAGTTAAGTCTCACTCCCAGACTGGAGCGCAGTGGCCGCTCCCGGCCACCGCAGCCTCGACCTGCCGGGCTCCGGCGATTCTTCCGCCTCAGCCTTCCAAGGAGCTGGAACTACAGGCGCGCGCTACCACGCCCGGCTCATTTTTTGATTTATTGTAGAGACGAGATCTCGCCAAGTTGCCCGGGTGGGTCCCGAACCCGCGGGCTCAGGCAATCCACTCGCCTCGGCCTCCCTAAGTGCTGGGATGACAGGCCATTCCGAGGAATTCTGGGGAACGGATGGGTGACAAAAACATTCTTTTTCGTGAGAGGCCTCACAGGAGAAGTGGTTAAGGGCACACACCTGGGTCAAAGTGCCTAGGATTGAATCCTGGTTCGGCCACTTCCAGGCTGCACGGCCTGGACAAGTGACTTCATCTCTCTGTCTCCGTACGTGGGCACAATGACACCACCCACCTCACAGGGTTGTTGTCAAGGTTAAATGCATTCATATACAAAAGCACTCATAACTGCCTAGAGTGTGACGAAACTGTAAGGTGTCTTCTCCTCCTCTCCTTCCCCTTTATTATTATTATTATTATTATTATTATTATTATATAATTACTGATTTTTCTTTCTGCAAAAATGGAGCTTCATCTTGGAGTCGGGGTCAGTCAGAAGGGGCGGGCATTGGGAATGGCCCAGTCCTTCCTGACTCGGTGGTGGATTGGCAACGGTGCTGGGGAGAGCCAGGGCTGGCAAACCCATCCGGTAGGAAACCTGACGCTGAAGTGTTGGGGCTGAGTCTGTCACCAAGAACGTGTTTGTGAAAGTTACCTTCCAGGATCCGCCCTCCGGAGACCCACCAACAGCGCTGCCCTGGCTCAGGCCATTTGGGGATTTCCCCGATGCTCCCCGGAGCACCACCCCAATCTGCATTTGGCTGCCCCTTAACATTTGGTTAGATCCCCCTTTTTCAACGTAAGAGATCATGCTTAGGCTGACAGCTATTTGTGGCTGAGGTTGCGTTCAAACAGGACTGCAGTCCCCGAGGGACAGCCAGCTGGGATGGATCCTGTCCCCCGGCTGGTTTTGTTGCTGAGTCGTGTCGATCTCCCCGGGGCATTCCTCTGACTTTCCCCGACGTGGCCGATCTGTACCCCTGGGGATGGATGTGACCCCAGAAAAACAGTAAAGCGACTCTAGGCCAAGTGTGAATGAATTGAGCCATGCCAGCTCTGTCCTGTAAATAAATTCACGAGGCTGGCTTTCTCGCGTGGCTCGTAAGCCAGGTCTAGCTGCCATTCCCCCAGAAGGAGCCAAAAAGTGCTCAGAGTGGGGCCTTTAGAACAGGCACGGGGAGTCCCGAGGCCAAGGTCATGGGTGCCGCTCCGGGCGGGAGGGCGGGCGTTCCCGCGCGGGGCTGCAATGCTGGGATTGGTCACAAGAGGGGGGCCGAGTCCCGGGCCCCACGGCGGGGGCCTCCGCAGTGCTCCACGAACTTTATTTTATAAGGACCAGCCAGCCGCCAGAGCAGCTGCAGTCAGTTCCCATCCCAGGCGGTCCCTAGCCGAGCGGCCGGTGCCTCCTCAGAGCGTCCCCCGACGGATCGCTGCCCGGGACGGGGGCATCACCACGGGGCACTGCCAGGCGCAGACTCCGACTCGGGGTCTCCCAGGCAGAGAGCCCCCTCACTCTGCCACGAGGCTGCCTGCTGCCTCCTGGCCTGGTCCTCCTGCAGAAGTGTCCTCCCCCGGTCCTGCCGTGAGACGAGTCCCTGGGCGGCCCGACCCCATCTTTCTATGACTCCGCCTGGACTTGGCTGGCCGTGGGGACACGCTCCGAGCGGCTGCCTGGGTCTCGGTGTGGTGGCAGCCAGCTCTCGGGTCACCATGGGCAATGCCGGGAACTGAGAAGACGGGCTCTGAAGCCTCAGCCAGGGACATTCAGGTGAGTCTCGGTGCTGACCCTGTCCTGTCTCCTGGGCTTGGGGTCCCCAAGGCGGCCGGAAGAGACTGGGGTGTGCCGGACGCCAGTACCAAATTTAGGAATCTTCAGGATGAAGACCCCAGGGGCACCTGCTCAGGTGGGAAGGTCCCAGCTGGCGGAGCCCGGGGACACCCTCCGGGCCCTCATCCAGCTGCCTGGGCTGGAGTGTGAGCCTGCAGTGGGGCGCCAGAGGTGAGCCACTGCCTTGGTGGCAGCTCTGCCTGACTCATGTCACGGCTCGAGCCTCTTCAGGAGTGATGGTACAGGTGGCAGCTCCCGTCGGTGTGTGTGTGTGTGTGTGTGTGTGTGTGTGTGTGTGTGTGTGTGTGTGTATGCACAGGCCCAGTGGGGGGCAGATGCAGGGAGGGGTTATGTAGAAAACATCTGTATCTCCTCAACTTTGGGGAATGATTTAGCTTAACGAAGTACAGTCGCAGGAGGAAAATGTTCAAAACCTCCTTCTCGGTTCCCTCTCTGAAGAGGGACATGTTCTTAGTGATTTTTCCTTGGTTTTGATGAGTTTAGAAAGAGGCGATCCCAGGTAAAGCCGTGAGCCCTTCAGGGTCAGATGCTGGAACCCACAGACACCGTCTTGGGAGCAGCTAGCGAGGCTTACGCCCCCTCCCCCTCTCGGCAGGAGGACTCAATTGAGTCCTTCTGGTGCCCAGAGGACTCTGAGAGTCAGGGTCCAGATTTCAGCCCTGGGCGGCATCGCCGTTGCCTTCTGCAAAGGGAACCCCAAGCGTCTTTGTTTCCGGGACTGGCGAGACAGCGGGGAGGCCGTGGGAGCCCAGAGAGCCCCCGGCCTGGCTGTGTGGCAGGGTCAGAAGATGCCGGGGCTGCTGGTTCTCTCGGACTCTGCCACCGGCCCCCCAGGAGACCTTGCCCGTAAAGCCCTTCCCCGGGTGGGGTCTCACGGGAGGCCCGCCTGACCCCCGGCGGCCAGCATAGAGGGACGGTCCCACCTTAGAGGTGATGCACCCGAGGCTGGATGAGGTCAGCTGACCGGGTCCAGTTCCCAAGTGACCCATGTGCAGGAGCCAGGATGGCAGCCTCTGGGCTCCCCACAGGCCGGCAGGGAGCCTCCAGGGGAGAGGGAGTCCAGCTGGCCGAGGGCTTTTCCAGCTCTGAAGGCAGACTCTGGAGCCAGATCCGTGTTCCCTAACCTGCCTTTCTCTGTGCCTTGGGAAAACTCGCCCGGGAGCGAGTCACAACGCCCCCTCTTAGGTCAGTAGGGAGAGTGTCCCTCCGTAGTGAGGAGACACTCAATGTCGAGGTCCACGCTCCCTGGCTTCATCCATGGGTCCCCGTGACTTACACACCCAGCCCACATGGCCCCAGCCCCTTCCAGCTCTCACCGGCTCGCCTCAGCCCAGGGTCCCCACCGGCTGGGGGTACGTTGGCTGGCCCCCGGAGGTGTGACCGCCTTCACCCAGGGTGGCCGCCGAAAGGGGCTCGCAAGGGCTTCCCAGAGGCTGAGCCGGTGCCCCAAGTGGGGCCTCTCCCTGTGCTAACACCCGTTGCTTCTTGTTTGTTTGGTCTCTGTTGGCCAACCTCTCAAATGGGAGTGATGGGAGGGGCGTGGCTCCTCCCTGCCCCCTCCCTGTGCTCCTGGAAGGAGCATCCCAGAGGGCCTTGGCCCCGACCCGGTGGGTGGTGTGCCGGCCCCGGGGGTGTGCACTGTCCTCTCCACACGCCCCTCAATGGCTTCTTTTCCGAGAGCACAGACTTGGTCCCAAGGCACGAAGACCGAGGATCTGAGGGTCCGAAGGTCTGCCCCCCGAAAGAAAAACGGCCCCCCCGAAACCTGCACAGACAGAGCGCGCGCAGGCTTCCCTCCCCAGTGACCAACATCAGCCCAGTCGACTGCGCCTTTCCAAGTCCGCCTCTCCCACATCTGGCCCGGCCGCCCCGGCCTCCTCCCCAGCGGCTGCCCTGGGCTCCGGCTCGGACCAGCTGAGGGGTGGGGCGGAGGGGGAGGAGGCCGCCCTGCAGACACGTTCCAGCCGCGCATTCCGGCTCCAGCCCAGGAGCGGCCCAGGAGGGCAGGAAGGTGGAGGTGGCCGGGGTGGGGCCACCTCCGCTGTGCAAGGGCGGCCCGGCCGGCTCTGGGTGGCCTCCGGGCGGCAGAGGCTGTTGCCCTTGGCAGAGGCAGGGCTCTCTCGGGCAGAAGGGACACGGGACTCCTGCTTCGCGCGCCCCAGGAGCGAGCCAGAGGGAGGGCGCCCACACGCGCTCGCGAAGGAGAGGGAGGGTCCCCTGCAGCTGAGCAGTGGCCAGCTGCCCGCGGCCCCACCTAGAGGCCCCTGCGGGGCGGAGGGACCGGCGAACTGGACGCCGCTGCAGCCCAGGGAAGCCGGGATGGGTGGTGTCTGCGGTGGGGAGGAGAGATCCTGGCAGGGTTTCCGACCACCCCCCGGTCCGTGTCTCCCACCGGGAGCATCGGACGGGGCGTGGGCCTGTGTGTCCCGCGCAGCGGATGTGGAGAAGACCTGAGAGCGGGCCCTCCGCCCTCCTGGGTCCCAGAAGGACAGTCGTCCCGCCATCGGTCACTCCCGCCTCTTCTCGGCCCTAGCGTCAGGGGGCCCTGGAGACCAAGTTCAGCTCTCAAAAGTAGGGGACTCACAGCCGGGCTCGGTGGCTCAGCCTGTAATCCCGCGCCTTTGAGAGGCTGAGGTGAGTGGATTGCCTGAGCCCGTGGGTTCGAGACCCGCCTGG